TATATAGTGAGATCCTGTCTCAAAACAAAACAACAAACAAAAGAAATTAATACAAATAACAAGACAAAAAGGTATAAACACAGGAGCCTGTAGTGTTCTCTGTCTGTGTTTGCTCTATGTGTGTGTGTTATGGAATGGCCTGTAGAATTCAAAAAATATAAATTTACAAAGGACTACATATTCTTAAAGCCTGGCTCAAAATCATGCTTTTCCATTACAAATTTACTGTGTCTGTATTTACTTGACAATATCACACTACGTAGACCTCACGGGTCCAGGAGTATTAACTTTTTCTCTCTAACTAGATCGTAAAAAGCTGAGGGGCTTACATATACCAACATCCTCCCCAGTACACTGTCTCTATCTAGTATAGATAGAGACCTCCATGCTACTGACATTCTGGGACCATGTGACTCTTTGTGAGGGGCTGTCTTGAGCAAAGCAGGATTTTCAGCAGCATTCATGATCTCTACGTAATTGACGCTAATAGCACCTCCTCTGGACCATGACAGTCAAAATTATCTCTAGACACTGGCAAATATCTGCTAGGAAGCAAAACTGTTTCTGGTTGACAATTACTGCTGCAGTGGGTGCCGGCCGTGTGGTAGGTGCTCGAATACTTATTCCATATCTCTTTAAGGGAAGCAAGAACACTTACATCATCAGAATCATGGGATAGGAAGCAAAGGATCTGCTATGGAGCTTTCCACGTGCCAACTTCTATTATACGAATTTTATAAACAACAAACTTTTTCTTTTTTTGTCTTTTTAAGACAGGGTCTTGCTATGCAGTTCAGGCTGCCCTCAAACACGCAACCATCCTCCTGCCTCCGCCACCCAAGTGCTGGGTTTACAGACGTGTGCCACCATGCCTGGCAACAACTTTTTAAAAAAATGAAACATGGGCTATCACTTGCTGAACATAAAATACTAAACATTCTAGCCCCTAAAGCAGTGTTTCTTAGCTACACCTTTAGCTGACAGTCACTTAAAAATAAATAATAATAATGTGTAGTTTCGCAGAAAGATCTGGTCTAAATGCCAATCTATTTTCCAAATGTAACTTGGTTACAATTCTTTCACGTTTCCCACTTTAATGCCATAAATATACAAGGATAAAAGTTTCAAGTATTATAAATTTGTTTCCAGTCTAGGAAATACTTTGGGAACAGGAAATTCAGAAAGATGCACAGACATCGTTATTTGGCTGGAAGACACTTTCATGCCATAGAGCAGTGGTTCTCAAAGGAGTGTGAGGGCCAGAGGTGACGGGGACAGCTGACAAGTCTGAACATTTCTGGATGTCATGGCTAGGAGGTGCTACTGAGAAACCCTGCCAGAGCCAGTAAATTTAGAACCAAGCCTGGGAGGAGGGAACTCTTAAAACGGAACACACAAAAAGTAATTTAAATACCTAGACTTACATTAATGTGCTTTTTTTCAACAAGAATATACTTGAGATGACATTTTTTCATAAAATGTGTTGCTAATGATGGTGGTGAATCTGGATCAATAGGAGCATATGCAGCAGGAACCTGGAGAATTCTAAAGAAGTAAGTACAGAATCAGCACCCTCCTGTAAGTGTTTCTATTTTACTATGCACTTTATCGTTCACTTCATTAAAATTACCTATGCTTGCGTGGATTCACCTTTGCTTATAAATATTACTATTTTATGTTGCTTTTAATGAACATCCTGAGTACTATAAAATTTTGCATTAAATTCTTATCAACACAGAGAAATACAAGGTTTTTTAAAAGTTCATGTATGACAGTACAATATGCTTGGCTAACTGGCACCCCCTGAAAAGTCTTTCTTCATCTGTCTGTGGAGAATAACACAAAAGAAGCTAAATATGTACACACAACTTACTAGTATGCAACTGTGTATAGATTATAAGAATCTGCATACTACGGAAGATGTATTTCACCAAAATCAGGACACTTAAAAGATCATCCTTAAATTTCTTTATGTAGCATAGTCATACAAGGGATTTGATCAGAGATCTTTTAGCCATTTTAGGCATCCTGCAGTACAAACACTTTGGTGACACTAGATCTACGCTTATGGTAAACAGTAAGTAAACTTTTTGGTCAATGACTGAATAAATTCTGACACATTTTTTACTTTACAGTTACATCTACTAAAGCATGTATTGTGGGATGAATATCAACTTTTCTAATTCTTTGGCAGCTTTTATTTTCTGTAAAGAGCTATAATAGAAATCACTATAACATAATATTCTAGAATAATTTAAATAAATAAATATTTTATAAGTATTTCTTTGAATAAGTGTCTTCCAGTGGGTTCATACTTCAATTTTAATGGACCATTTTCTAATACTCTCATACATTCATTCATTTTTAGTGCTTAAAATTTCAGCCTTGGCACAAAATATACCCATGTTATTTCTGAAATCCCATTTTCTTCATCTAACAACAAATCATTTTTTTTTTGTCTTTTTGAGACAG